AAAATGTAAGGGATGGTTCTTCAGATCATAAGCATGTAACTCCTCTGTGACAATTTAATTCCAAAAAAGTTGGCACATTAAGTGAAATGCTAATAAACACAGAAAGCAGTGTTTGGTAACTTTTTTTGACATGCATTAAATCAGAAACAGTGCAAAACCATGATATTTGATATTTTTCCTTATAAACTTTATTGTTGCTGCATATTTGTCTTGTATTTTGTGCTTCATAATGCGGCACATTTTCAATCGGAGACAGTTCTGGACTGCTGGCAGGCCAGTCTAGCACCTGCACTCTCTAATTAAACAGGTATTCTGTTGCAACATGTGCAGAATTTGCATTATCATGTTAAAATAAACATGGGCATCCCTGAAAAAGATATCATCCAGAAGGCAGCGTATGTTGCTCCAAAAAGTGTACATACCTTTCAGATTTAATGGTGTGCAAGTTAGCCATGCAATGGGCACGAATACAGTCCCATACCATGACAGACCCGGGCATTTTAACTTTACGCTGGTAACAATCTGGATGGTCCTTTTCTTCAGAGGCCTGGAAAATGTGACGTCCATTATTTTCATAAACAATCTGAAAAGTCGACTTGTCAGACCACAATACATGTTTCCACTGTGCATCAGTCCATTTCAGATGAGCTGAAATGTTGTTGTTGTGGCTCTGTAGTACAATCTTAATACAACAATAAACAGTTTTATCATTTCAGGAGGCTTTCAGGGAGACTACTGGTGCTTTACCCAGAATATAAACATTCACAGGCCACCATGTTCACACGCAATGGAGCACACAACATGTCAGCCTCACACAATACCGTGAGGCGTAGTGGATATATCCACTACAGTTTGTCAAAGTTCTCCCGAGCTTACGAGATGATATCTGTCCCAGAAGAATGCTGATTTTTAGTGCAGTGCTCTCTGAGGGGTCGAAGGTCACAGGCATTCAGGTGTGGTTTTTAGCCTGGTCCTTTACGCACAGAGATTTCTCTGGATTTCCTAAATCTTTTGATGATATCAAGCACAACAGAGGGTGAAACAACTAAAATCTCTTCAGTCGGATTTTGTTCTTCATATTATTTTTGTTGCATTTTTGGTGGTGAGTCTCAAAAAGGACAAGACCTTTCCTGGATGCTCCTCAGGACTGCTTGGTTGAGCTCTATATGTGTTGCAAGATGTATCCTGATAGCAAAGAATATGGCAATAGAAGTTGTTGATTCAATAAAATATGGATGCATGGTATGGTGTGGAGCATTCAGCTTTTTGGCTTTCTTAATTTGATAAACATTTTTAAAATATAGAAATAAATTCAAATTTTAATTTTAGAACAGAAATAGATGAACTGGAGTCAAGCAGCCAGCAAATACTGGTTTTTGGCCTTGTCCCTTGCATACAGAGGTTTCTCCCAATTCTCTGAATCTTTTAATGTTGTTGTGTATCGTAGATGATGAAAAGCAAAAGTTCTTTGCTGTTTTACGTTGAAAAACGTTATTCTTTACCAGCCTTTTGTTGCCCCCGTCCCAACTTTTTTGGAATGTGTTGCTGGCATCAAAATGGGCAAATATTTTTCAAAAAAAACAATACAATTTCTCAGTTTCAACATTTGATATGCTGTCTTTGTCAATGAAATATAGGGTTTAAATGATTTGCACATCATTGCATTTTGTTTTTATTTACATTTTGCACAGCATCCCAACTTTTTTGGAGATGGGGTTGTATGAATTATGCTTATAAACTCTTTTACTATATTTTACCATAGCAATGTTATATGTTAGCCTATAGCATGTGTGCTGCATACATGAACATCTCAAGAAGTCAAAGTCACTCTGGTACTCAGGGCAGCGTAGTGTCTCGTACAGAGGTAAACAGAGTTTAGGGCCAAACCACAACTGAAGTCAGGCAGAGAACCTCTCACTGCTCACTGTGTAGTTTCATCACTTTTTCCACATTGAATCTCATAAAACTCCTCAGAAACTTTTGAAGACCTTGGTCTCCCAAAGCTAGTCACGAACATGATGGGCAAGAAATTGTGCATAGCAATTGCTAAGCAGTAATTGGAGGGTTGAGAAAATAATGCAGAGCATAGCAGATTTTGATTGGCCATAATACGGTGACAGCGCTCACAGAAAACAAATCAAATTATCCCAAAAATGCGGCATAATAAATGTTCTCTCCCCATTTGATTGAGGAGGCCTGTGATACTGTGGCTGCAAACACCCTTAAAAATTCACCCGCTCTTGACTGTAGGCCAGCTGACCCCATGTCCTGCATATTTTCTGTAAGTCATTAACATCCAAAATAAAATTCTAGTAAAATGAATGTCCAGATTGTTTTAGTAAAATGAATGTCCAGAATGAAGTTACATTAAAATGAATAACCTAATAAAGTATCATTCAGATTTTTGTTCTAGTAACAATAAGATCTACAATTAATAATAAATTAATATCCAGAATGAGGTTATGATAAAAATCAATATCCAGAATGAAGTTCTAAGAAAATTTGTTTTTGTTTTAGAATGAGATTCGAATAGAATTAATACCCAGAATCTCAGATGTGGTGATCAAATCTCAAGGCACACAACTTGACAAAATATTATGGTAAAAAATTACAGTGTATTTGTCATAATTGAATAATGTCTTGTTACTCCTAAAATACCAGATAGAGAATTTTCTTGTGTCTAATTTATGATTTTTAAATCTACACTGTGTAAGTCATAATTGTTTGTAAAATAACAAAAAATATTAATATGTAAACAAATTATTCTAAACTCTTAAACCGTAGCCTAACCAGAAAGACAGGAAGGAGAGATACAGCAGCTTCAAATTTGATGTTCACTTTCCTTCCGAAGAGAGAGATTGGCAGTTTTAGCCTGAACTTCATCTTTGATCTGAGAAATGAAATCATGTCTTGACTTGCTGTTCCGGCTCTGTCTGTTCTGTCCATTCTCACTAGAAGACTGAAAGCTCAGGTCTGCCAGAAAGAGAAGATGTTTTATGTGTTGAGGACAAGTTTGCGCTACGTCCCTTTCCTCTCATTATACCAAATGCATAACAGAGAAACACTAGGGGGCACCAGAGGCAGTGCTCAATGAACAAGAGGGAATGGTAATAGTTTTATAGTTCTTCATACAAGCATTACACAAACAATGAAAACCACAAACGGTTTTGGTCAGTAGGATGTTAGCACTGCAGCTCTTGAGTACTGTCTGGTTGGCTAGCAATACAGCTACTGATTGCTGATTGGTTGGCATTACAGCTACTGAGTGCTGATTGGTTGGCATTACAGCTACTGCCTGCTGATTAGTTGACTTTCATTGCCACTACTGACTGCTGACTGGCTGGTTAAGCATTACTGCTACTAAGTGTTGATTGGTAAGCATTACGGCTTCTGAGTGCTGATTGGTTGGCTAGCATTACAGCTACTGAGTGCTGATTTGTTGGCTAGCATAGCTGCTATTGAGTGCTAATTGGTTGTCTAGCATTACAGCGACTGAATGCTGGATTGGTCAGCTAGCATTATTGCTACTGGATGCCCATTACTACGTTGGTATTACAACTACTGAATGTAGATTGGTTGGCTAGCATTACTGCTAATGAGTGCTGATTGATTGTCTAGTATTACAGCGACTGAGTTCTGATTGGTCGGCTAGCATTATTGCTGCTATGTGCTCATTGCTTGGTTGATATTACAGCTACTGAGTGTTGATTGGTTGGCTAGCATTCCAGCTAATGAGTGCATATGGTTTGGCTAGCATTACTGCTACTGAGTGCTGACTGGTTTGTGAGTTAATCGGCTCTTTGTCAAAGTAAAGTGGTTCGCATGCAGTGATGTCATGAATGTACATGACACTGTAAGAAAGTCCTATAAATAGAGTTTAGAAGCATTAAAGATATTAAAACAGAGTTAAAACGAATAATGTTATGTGTTGAAGGAAAAGGAGTCAATTTCTCTGTATGGAAAAAAAACTCTGGACACAAACTTTATAAGAAACCTACTCATTTTGGACTTTCTCAGAAGCGCACTCAACTTAATACACATTGAGTGGTCATTCTTCTCACCACAAAATCTGGACATGCATCAAACATTGGAGTTATGACACTGTATTTTAAATAATGATACGCTTTCTTAGTAGCTTGCTGATGTTAGAAAACAAAAAAACTGAAAATGATTGTGGGATGGAAATGTCTTTTTACAAATCTCAACCATCACATCAGTGGACACATTACGTTTGTAGTGTTTCTTAAGACAGGGAAGCCCTGAGAATCTTTTGCATGACAATGCCTGAATAAAGCAGTTTGTTCTGCATTTGTGGACTGATTCATGCTCAGTTTACTTCAGATCAGTAATGAAACTGAGCCAAATTGAAATGTTTCGGTTTGTCATTGAAAGATTTTTCACACTTTCAAAGTGAAACAAAGTGCAATTATCCCAGTGCAGCTGTGGCCCATGATGTAAAAATTCTGAGAAGAGATAAGCTATCATGGTATCATTGGCATGAACTTACAATTGTCTCCTGTTGAGGATTGATTTTTCTATTTAACTTTAAGTTTAATAGGATTGTGACATCAATTTGGCACAATATAATGAATAATACCTCTAGATCTGAAGACAGGTGTCATAGAGAACAGGGCACAAACTAACATGGGGTAAAATGGACTTTTTCTGTACTTAAACAGGCTCTAGTAGGATGTTCTTTGGGTCATCTTCTCATATTCATGTAGCAACATCATCTGCCAATTTGACAGCTGACAGATGTTTATCCATATTCACTTTTATACCATGAAACTACCTTTTCTCATCATCAGCATTTACCAAGTTTTGTGTAAGTCACGTAACTCACGCCTATACTATTTTAAATTCATTTCTATCTTAATTTAAACCCTTCGTGGTGGCTGTATATGGCATTATTATGAAGCACGTAAACACTTTTTTCTGATATTAGCAACAATAAAAAATTGCAAGAAGTGTTTAAGGGACAAAAGCAGAAATAACCATTCTCAGGTGACACCAAACACCATTTATTAGGGTTTTACAAAGACTACAAAATTCTCCAGATGATTTAAATTGTGGTCTCTTACTATTTACATGATATGTTACTTACAAATGTACAAAATATAAAACATTTACGCACAAATGTTCCACTTAAAAAGAAATACTCTGAAAGAAATAAACGGTATGCTCTCACCAAGGTGTATTTGAAAATAAGTAAAAATAAAATAAAAAATGAAAAAAAAAGAAAAATGAAAAGATGTACCATAGACACTGTTACAATGTTCAGGAATATTTTGAAGCTTGTGAAGTCTGGATTTTCAGGCAGTTGAGGATGAGATTTAGGAGCCAAAATTTGATCAGCATATTCAATAAAGGGCAGGTTTGGTGATTTTATGTTAGACGAAGCCTGTGGTCAGCAAACAACGCAACAGGCACAACATTCAGAAGTTTAAGACTTTTTCTATGGAGCAGAACAGACCAGTATAAACTACAGACTAAAAAAAACTGAATTAACAGAAAAAGAACACAAAGAGTATTGAGGCATTGACCAGGTTAGGAAGGGAGCCATTAGTGGGCGTAACTCTGTGGGGTTCGTGCCTGAGGAGGTGGATCTGAGAGATATTGCTTCCGAAATCGCTACTTCTACTGTAAATACCCATAATGATATACTGTACTCTTTGGAGCAATGCCTACTACTTTTGGTTCAATGGACAATTCTTTAAAGAACCATTTTAGTAAACGGAATGTGGGAAGATGTATTTTTTTCATTACATCATGAGCAGGTTTTTTTAAACTGTTCTTCACACATATCCTTTACAAAAATAGTTCTGTAGAACCATCGATTGAAATGTTTTATCGAACCAGAAGTTGTTATTCTATGGCATCACTCTAAAGAAACCATGTAGCACCATTAAGAGGGTACATCAGGTAAAACTTCATAGTGTGCAAATACTTGACACCATTCAATCTTAGCATCATTATGAGGGGGTGTGGCTTTATAATGTGACAGATTCTGGGGAAGTGGTGTTAAATGAGATACACTATATGGCCAAAAGTATGTGGAAAACTGACCATCACATCTATATGAGTCTGTTGAATATTCCATTCCAAAAATGGATCTGTCCACTGCCCTGCCCTCTGTTTTCGGCTTTAATGGTCTCTGCTCTTTTGAGAAGGTTTCTCACAAGATTTTGCAGTGTGTCTGTTGGAATGTGTGTGGCCACTGGAGTTCCTCCTCACCAAGCTTGTCAAACCATGTCTTTATGGAGCTCACCTTAGAACAGGAGCACAGGTAGGCTGGAATAAGAAATGGCCTTCCCCAAACTGTCTTTGTATGCTGTAGCATTAACATTACGCTTCACTGGAATTTTACTGCTGGCACTATGTACTCCGGTAGGTAGGGTTAGTTTTCCTGGCATCTGCCAAATCCTGATTAGTCAATCAGACTGCCAGATAGTAAAGCATGCATTCATCACTTCAGATAACACGTTTCCAATGAGTCCATTGCTGGCGTGATTACACCACTCCAGCCGACGCTTGGCACTGCACATTGTTATCTTAGGCTTGTTTACAGGTGCTCAGCCATGAAAACCCATTTTATGACGCTCCCAGTGCACAGTTCTTGTTCAAAGGCGGTATTCTATGACAGTTCCACGTTTAAAGTCACTTCAGTATGATCCATTCTACTGCCAGTGTTTGTCTATGGAGACTGCATGGCTATGTGTTTTGATTTTCTTCACCTGTTAGCAATGAATGTAGCTGAAACACCTAAACCCAATAACTAGGAGGTCCACATACTTTTGGCCATATAGGATATTTTGGTTTCATATTTAGACCTTTTGGCAATTTGAGTATTTTCATCATAAAAATTTAAAAATTCAAAGTTCTTGGGGCGACTATTACAGCCAAAAACTGTATAAAGCCATTATACATAAGTCAGGAGAATAATACGTTATCTCGTTGCAAAATAAGTGCGATTTCGGATGCAACCTTGGCCTGAGGTTCAGCTGGCACTGTTGGAAAGTCAAGGTTATCCATAGCACCTGTTGTGTGACTGTTAGTACTTTGCACCTTTAGGACAGCAGGCTAAAACCGTGACTCACTTTCTGTAAACAAATCTGGAAAAAAAAATGTGCAAAACTGTTACGAAATTAAAATCATTTCACAGTAAAATGGTTTTGTTTTTCTGATATTTTACTTCAGGTTATTCTGTTTTATTTTTGCAATTTGGACACAGTTATTGTGTCCATGACGTTATTGAAAGTTAGAGATAAATAGAAGAAAAAGTGTCAGGGGATCTAAATTTGAGTTAATGAATCCGACTGATTGAACCACATGATTTTGCACCTTGGACAGTAAATTGAACACTGATGTTTTCAGGATTATAAAAACAGTTCACTTCTCACTGAATATTTTATTTCAGACCAATCGTTACAAAACATGAGGGTTGGATAGCTGGCTGGTTTGCTTTTTTTCTTTTTTTCTGTTCTGTAAAACACTACAGCTTACTGCTAGGCAAAAAGAGCAGGTAGGGAAGTTGAACTGGGTAGAATGCGTCATTGAGAAACTGTGAAACTGTGCAAGACGCGAATATTTACAAATAACTCTCAACTTTGCAAAGAAAAAGAAACTTTTTTAACAAAAAACCATGGATGAATTTTCAAATGACTGCACACAAGCTGGTGCCTGGAGTTAACACTCCAAATGCCTCTACGCACACATTCACACATATGGACACACACAGACGATAAAGAAAAAATGAAACAAAAAACAAACAAACAACAAACAAAAAAACAATGCCATGCTAGCCAAGCAACTTGTCAGATTTGTGCTCATCTCAGTTCAATTCGTCCCAGCTCAACTGGGATTACATAAAGATATCACATATTCACTTATTTTACATTTAGACCATTTCGTAATGCTGCGTCTTGACTCTTAACACTCACTTGTCAAGGTAACAAAAATAAAAATATGTGGACGTGGCATTTATTAGGATACATATGGTTTCGAATTTCATCCTAAGTCGATGCTTTTCATAAGAATACAGGCCTACTCCAACGTCTGCCACAGCTCAGCACATTTAAGGCAGCAAAAAAGCACCAATAATCAGGTGAGTTCCATTTTTCTTCTGTCCGAACATCCACAGCACTGCCCAGCACTCTGCTGCTCCCCAATGGAGAGAAAGAGAACTGCATACATGGCCACGGAGTCAAAAAAGACAACACTGCACTTGGTTAGCTTTACTTTCTCTTTAGCTGTTAAACAGGGTGGCTGTAAGGGTTCGCTGTTGTTGGCAGTGTACTGAGTGAGCGTGTGTTAGCACTGGCGAAAGGTTTCACAGTAGAAATGACACGAGGCGAGGCTTGTGCTTTGTTGGCTAGGTGTGAACGGCGCGTAAACGACGGGAACTGTGGCACCACAGCAGCACCAGGACGTCCACTGAGGTCATGATTTAGCACTTCGCCCCTTTTTTTTCACCAGCAAACTGAAAAAGACTCGTGTAAACAACTGCATTTAACCCCTTAAACTCTAAGAATCTATATGAGGGCCCACATTTCAGTTTCTTGAATTAAGTTAATATCTATCGAATAATTCCTAGCAAGCCTTAAAGTAATAGTTTGACTAAACATGCTACCAAGGCTGACTACAAATAGCCAGTAGCCACCATCTAGCAAAATTAGCATTTCATAATGCTAACTGGTTCTTATTCGCTTTCATTCACCATTAGCAGCATTAGCATTTTTGACTTCTTTACGATTAATAATGGAATAGTAAGCCTAGGGTTTAAGGGGTCAGTATGGATGACACTGACCAAAAGAAAACAAACCAGAACTTCCAGTTGTTGTTTGTTGTTTTGTTTTGTTTTTAAATTGCACGTTTCACCAGTGTTTGTTTCTGCACGCGCCATTTTTCCTCTCGCTTCTGCAAACTTCAGCCTCTGGTACCCCAGCCTAAGTGGACACTCGCACCGTCCACTAAGGTCCGGCAGCCGCTCGGATCTGCCATCTCTGAAAAACCAATAAGAAGAAGCCTCCGCCTCCTCCAAGGGGTGGGGTTCATAGGGCTGACTCGAGGGAGGAGTCGAGCTGGTCGTCATGGTGACTGGCGCTGTCACTGTCACAGCTCTGAGCGCTGGAGTAGTTAGCGGCTTCCTGCAGCCTCATTAACATATTCATCTGGAGGGAGAGTGAGAGGGAGAGAGAGAGAAATAGAAAGGGAAAAGCAGAAAAAGTACAATTGAGTGGAGAGAGAGAGAGAGAGAAGGGAAGGGGAAAGATAGAGAGAGATGAAAAGAGAGGAGAAAGGCAAAAGAGGAGACAGAGAAAGAAAGAGATAAGAGAGGGAGATTACAAAAAAGGTGAGGAAAGAAACATAAAGAGAGAGAAAGGGAGAGAGAGACAGAGAGAGGAAAACAAGGAAAGAGAGAGGGGAAAGCAGAAATAAAGCAATAAACCAGGGCAAAAAAAGAGAGAGAGAAGAAAATAAGAGGAAGAGGGGAAAGGCAAAAGAGAGGAGAGAGAGAGAGAGAGAGAGATTACCACAGTGCAATTTACCACATAAACACAGACATCTATACACACACACACAGTCACTCTACTGCACTACTATAAAAACTATAGGGATCATTTTTACACACAAAAAAGGAACTACATACAGAATACACTACAACTGCACAACACACACACACACACACACACATCTCTGCGTATCACTACACTACTGTATACTAATATAAAACTAACCACTAAGTTTAGACACAGTGGAAGTTTTATCACCTTATAATCTCTGAACATCTGTTCTCATTTAAAAAGGAGGAGAGACATGAGAAGAGACAGCAAGCTGAGAGGAGGCAGTAATAAACATGTTAAAATCATTAGGTGTAAATAGCATCAAAAAAACCACAATAATGTGGTCATTACATTGATATCAAGTGAGTATGTGAAATAACTACAGCAAAGTGATCTACTCTGTCTCATTGGCACCACCAAGTGAAGGAAGCAGAGTATTACATAATGTGTGTTTACAACCTCTTTTGTCCACTTGGGGGCAGGAAAGTATTATTGTAATATACACTCCTGGTCACTTTATTAGAAATACCTGCCTTGTACTTCCACTCACTGGCCACTTTATGAGCTCCGTCTACTTTATAGGTCCTATATAGGTGTACAGTTACAGAGTGTAGCACATCAGTTGTCAGGCTGGTTTGTGTTCAAACTGGGAGGCTTATTACCATTTAAATCAAATCATTTTAAGTAAATTATATGTTGAACAAATAGAAATAGCTCTCTGTACACATCTGTACCGTACACCAACAAAAATGTCTGGTAAAGAGCAGCTCTGCAGTCAGAAACTGACCTCTTGCTGACTGTTGCCAGATTCTAATGACATCTCGTTTTTTTCGGAGGCCTCCGCCTGACTGTGACTGGTTCTAATCACAGCCTTGTTTGCTTTGAGACCTCCGCCTCACTGTGACTAGTTCTAAGCCCAGCATTGTTTGTTCTGAGACTTCCACCTAACTGTGACTGGTTCTAATCACAGCCTTGTTTGCTCTGAGACCTCCGCCTGACATGACTAGCTCTAATCCCAGCATTGTTTGTTCTGAGACTGCCTGACTCTTACTGGTTCTAATCCTAGCATTGTTTGTTCTGAGACTCTGCCTGACTGTGATTGATCCTAATCCCAGAATTGTTTTTTCTGAGACTTCTGCCTGACTGTGGCTGGTTGTAATCCTAGTGTTGTTTGTTCTGAGTCCTCCCCTGACTGTGATTGGTTCTAATTCCAGCATTGTTTTTTTCTGAGACCTCCACCTGACTTTGATTGATTCTAATTCCAGTGTTGTTTGTTCTGAGACCTCCGTCTGACTTTGACTAGTTCTAATCCCAGCGTTATTTGTTCTGAGACCTCCCCCATGACCTTGACTAGTTCTAATCCCAGTCTTGTTTGCTCTGAGACCTCCAACTGACTGTGATTTGTTCTAATCCCAGCATTATTCGTTCTGAGACCTCTCCCTGACTGTAATTGGATCTAATCCGTGCATTGTTTGTTCTGAGTCCTCCCCCTTGACTGTGATTGGTTCTAATCCCAGCATGACTGTGATTTATTCTAATCCCAGTGTTGTTTGTTCTGAGACCTCCCCCATGACTGTGATTGGTTCTAATGCCAGTGTTGTTTGTTCTGAGACCTCCCCTGACTGTGATTGGTTCTAATTCCAACATTGTTTTGTTCAGAGGTAGTTTGATTTGGTTCTTTCGTTGTTTTAAGTATACTGCCTGCTTAAGTGTACACCAGCATGGTGAAGCTATAAGGGAGGGGTTTCTAATTAAGTGGCTGCAGAATGTACACAACACAGACACTGGTTATCTTGAATTGTCTGAAATGAAAATGTAGTCATCCACATGATGAAGCAAACAGCTTCAACAGCTAAAAGCTTCTTTGTTTGTGTTTACTTTCCAGCTCATTGGACAAATATGAGAATCCGCCACTTCCTATCATTTTCAGCTCCATGGGTGGCGCAGGGTTATGACAGTTTACTCTCAGACTCCAGCAGCGTATTCATATATAAACAAGCCAATTTGGAAACTACACAGCAAAACAGAATCTGAAATGATTGTGTTTGTTTCACCTTGCTGCTCCTTTCCCAAAAAACTGCTTCTGAGTGTAGCACATATGTTTACAGTGAACACAGATTAGGGTAAAATTCTCAGCCCAGTTCATGGCACATTTTTCCATTTTCCTTTTTTTCCCTGCACCAACACACAGTAACGTGGAATTCTGACCTAAAACTAGATTGTAATTTGTTATTTGCTGTTATGCAATACACAGCATCATCTCCCTCAGCCTCAATAGTTCTATCGAATTCACGATTTTAAATTGTTTTCATGTTTTCATGCATTCATTAGTATTTTCTCACTACAATACCCAGCATGCAGTATGCAAAATACATCTTAAAATCATTCAGAATCTGTGTGGTGTCAACCAATCAGGATTGCTAGCTTAGCCACTGAGGTATAGCCTAATAAATACAACCCAGCTAGCATTACTGTCAATCTTACCTCAGGCATCAATTATATTTCTATTCAGCACAAAATGGATACTACAGACAAGTTTTTCAGCCTGAGAAGACAAACTGAGGTTAAATATCTGGACAGCTACCTTGCTAACTTTAGCCTTTAGCTTGCATCAGATGAGTCATTTCTATCATTTGAGTAATCCATATTCTCCATTGTAATGATATTTGAAGACAGTTACTGTAGTTATACTGCTGCAATAAGATATTCAGTTTCCTAGCAGTAATGTCAGCCATGTGACTTCCTTCTGGATTCACCAGCAGGGACGCGGGAAGTGGGGGTGCTCAAAACCTGGAGAAAGGCTGTGTTTCCATTACAGTGAGCCAAATCTTTTTCTTCTACAACTGTTGGTCGCTATAGAGGTGAGTTGCTAAAACACAAGCAGGTTAAGGTGCAAAGAAGGAAAGTGCATGCAGAATTATAGACCAGTTCTGAGCCGCGAAGCAACCTAGTATTATATTGAATTTATTGTTTTTAAACTTTAAAAAAAAAGTCAACTGTTAAATCTCCTGCTTGGTGCGCCTGTTGGTGAGTTATAGTATAGATTGAGTTTTTACCAGTGGATCTCCCTCCGTGTCACTCTGGGACACTTGTTTGGATGAGGCTCCATCTTTAAACGAGCTGTACCCATCGTACCCAACGTCCTCCGGCCGCAGTTGTAACAGAGACTGTCCGTCGTGCTGCAACGATGCAGCGTTCCAGGGGTACGTGTCCATTACCCATTTACAAGGGTCCTCCCATGCAGCTCTTTTACCGTACAACTGCAGGAGAAACAAGAGACGATCTTTTATTTGATATTTCAAGTATTTTGGACACAAGAAAAAATGATCAAATGGTATATAATGTATTGTAATTATCACGTTTTAGAAATTGCTTGTTTGACAATCTTCATTATGGAGCATTATTGAGAACATTGACCTCAAACTTGAATCATATTCTAAATTTTGTTAATATTCATTAAAGTCAACTTTTTTCTTAGACTGTGACCTTAAATAACTATTAAATCCAACTTAAATAAAAATAAATAAATAATCCTTACTCTAATGCTGTTGATAACTGAGTTTCATCAGTTTCACCAGCTGTTTTGTTTTTTGGTAGATATCTATAGTTTTTAAATAAAAAAGGTAGAACATTTTTATAACAAAGTGAATATTCAGATACTCTGCAGCTATGACTTTGAAACATGTCACACTTTAATAAAGTTTAATGGGCGGAAAACAACTAACTTACCTGTTATTATGTCATCCTAATTTGTTTGTTTGTTTTTATTGTGCATTTGCACTTGTGCATGCATGTACTCAGATATTGTAGCATAAACACACAACAAAGGATGACACAAAAATGATTGTTATTGTGTATGTTAAGGTTTAGTTGATCTACATGAAGGTACGACTGCTACTACTATTGCTACTATCTATAAAACTATTACTACAGTACTACATTACATTACTACTTTCACTGTTTTATTATTACAACTATTCTTATTATCTCTGCAATTACTACTGCTACATTAGAACTACTACTTTATTTTTACACTAATACTGCTATTGCTTCCCAATAATGCAAGCTCATTTTACTGTGAAACTGAAACAGAGAGAGAAAGAGAGAGAACAGCATTAATTTAGATTAGCTAAAAAAATCTGTGTTTTCAGTACTGAAGTAAAGAAACTCATGTACTCTTTGTGTGTGTGTGAGTGTGTGTGTGTGTGTGTGTGTGTGTGTGTGTGTGTGTGTGTGTGTGTGCGAGTCAGGCCCGGATCATCCAACAGATTTTATGGGCACGTGTTCAGGGGCCCAAGCAACTAGCCTTGCATAACCTGCAATGATTTCATAAAAAATTTACTGACTACCCAAAAAAGTTAGCCAGGTAGGGGCCCACCAAATATTTGCACCTAGGGGCTGATAACTTGATCTGGGCCTGGTGTGTGTGTGGGTGTGTGTGTGCGCATGTGTTTACCTGCAGCCCCTCCCGCACTGCCTCCAGTAAGTATGGCACCAGAGAGTAGTTCCACAGGTCAGTGAACCAAACCCGAGATCCGTCCACATCCATTGGGCAGGAGAGGAACAACCGGGGACCTGAAACAGAAAAACACTTCAATATTAGGGATGCACTGATATAGGAATTATGGGCCCATGCTGATATTCAATATTTTTCATGTATGTAACTGCTAATGCTGACATTTATAACGTAGTAATTGGGAGTAAATGTACCTGGATTAGCTTTACAGAGAAATGTACTATCTATGTATGTATGTCTGTATACAGTCGCATGCAAAAGTTTGATCACCCCACATGAACTTACGTGTTCAGTTGATTTTCTCTGTGAAAATACATTAATACATCCTGTACAGAGACCTACTATCATAGAGGACAATTTCTACTATGGTCCTGGTCAAATTACATGATTTAACCTGGGGTGTTCAAACCTTTGCATGCGACTCTAGATACACATTTATTTAAATGTATTAAAACTATTCTTGGTACAAGTAAAAACACATTAGAATGAACACAAACATTAATAGAGCCAGAAATAAAATGAGTATGTTGTTTTCAGTAAAGTTATGAATATGTAGGTTAGAAGAATACAGTGACAAGAACAGAGGTTTGGTTCTTGACTTCTTACTGAACTCCAGACAATTTGTTCAGTTCCATCTGCAGCACATGATTTAATTTAAAGAAGGACTGTTCAGATAAGCTAGATATTGGATGGTAACTGTAAACACTGGAATTCCTCGAGAAGTGCTTTTTGAAAATTGATTAAACTAACACACTCACACATTTCCAATCAATTCCAATCAATCCAATACTTATTCTAATATCAGTGTTTTATTGAACAAATAATTGCTTAGTGCCCAGATAAATGGCCTTCTAGATTTTTTTTAAGATGCCCAAGAGTTCTTTGCAGTATGTCCAATTTGTTTTTTTTTTTTTTATGTGTGTGTGTGTGTGTGTGTGTGTGTGTGTGTGTTCTGTATGTGTTTGTGTTACCTATAGTAACGTCTGATGAACTGTGTGCTTCTAAGAAGCCGTTGAGATGCTGCCAGGTTTTGGGGATCCAGTCTATGATCTTGATGAGCTCATTACTGCGCATGTTCTTATCGATCTCCATCTCGATCAGCTTCCTGCGTAGAAAACGGCCCAGAAAGCCCCGCACTGGCTCTGTATGATTTGCACATAGCACCCACCTGCACAGAGAGCACACACACCATGCTCAGAGAGCTTTTTACTCATTATCTCCTTATCTATCTACAAAGTTTCACACTTTGTAAACTAAAATGTTTTAACAGTTTCTTGTAATGACAACATTACATAAAAGGATCTAATACAGTGAAATTATCTTACAGTTCTGGCAGATTATGTTTTTTTTTTAAATTATTTTCAGATCATTTCACTTCATAAGATCACTTCACATTAATAACAAGCACCCCCTGAAGCAGCACTTTTAGATAACCATACCTGAAGTTATGATGCAGTTCCAGATTTGGGGAGGAGGAGACGCCCTGGTTCATTGTTCCGATCACATACGGGCTGTAGAAAACACACACAGGTAAATAGAATCAATAATTAGACCTAATCAGCATTAATTACTCAAGACCAACAACATATATATATATTTATTTATTCATTTATTTATTTATTGACATAGATTAAGCCTAATCTTGGACTCAGCTGTAGTGTCAATGGTGAATCACTATTGTAAATTCCTTTAATTCTGAGACTAGGCTTAATCCATGTCTGGTCGTTTGTGTTGTTTATCACGTACAGTTACATTTAGTCATTTAGCAGATGCTATTATCCAGAATGATTTACAAAACGTGCAAACAGTGGAAGCCAAAGCGATAAAAAGTATTGCAAGCTGTACCATGGCTTAATCTAGCTAATAAAATCGATAAATACAAATGTAGACATTGATGAGAATTAATTAAGTGCATTTTTAAGTGCATTTTTTAGTCCATGTTGGAAGGAACAGTACTGATCAGTTTTCTTTGTAAATTTACAGAAAAAAAACACTTCAGGATGCATTTTAGACTAAAACACAAAAATGTTAATCACATCTTGACCAGCAATGAGTGTTTGTTTGTTACCATTTGTGGTATTTGCAGTTGAGGAAGCCATTGAAGATGTCACTGAGGGAGCCAATGTGGTGCAGGTTATCTAGAATGACCACCAGGGGGAGCTCCACCTCACTGTGCTCTGAATTGCACTGCTCAGCCAGACTGGAGAGGTACTGCTGCAGGTCCAGCTGTTAGAGAAACACACACACACAACAGAGAACTAAAGATTTCTGGCAACTAATAATATCTGTCTGTACATTTTAGTTTATATTAATGCAATACAATTTTGCTTGTATTTAAACTCAAATATTACAGTACTACTCTTGTTTCATTGCTAAGTTCTGGATGGAAACAAAAAGGTTTAGTTCTTGAAATGCCTAGTGGAAAATTGGCCAATCAGGGATTGTTTTTTCTCTGTGGTATGTAGGCAGTTAAAGATAAGTGACCTCTCCTATTGGTTAGGACTTCAAGAGCTGAAGAGAAGTCTTAACACGTCAGCATAATTATGAAGTGACAGAGAAATTAACCCATCACGTATTGATTTGCAATAGGCAAGACCAATTTTCAAGAAAAAAAGAGGTCACTCAGCCTTTTGGAAGTCCTACATACATCACTGACTGAGAAAACGAGCTGCAGCCTAATCAGCCTGTTGTTGGATATGGAAAACTGGCATGAAAAAGGTCAAAAAGATGCTAATATGTCTGTCACAAGCTTCAAGTAAAACACAGATGTCTTTCATACGCTTCAAATATGTGTTTAATTCTGAACAGACAAAAAAAGTTCATAAGAATTGAACAAGTGAAGAAATCGTGTTGAAAGTACAGATTCCAAACTTTCAATCCACACCACATTTATGCTTGTAAGCAGAAGAGGATATTTTATTATGATTTGAATTTAATGGAGTTGTTGTGTGTAGTCTTGTTTTACAGAACGAAAGCCATTTTTTGCCATGATTTTGACATCAGAATAAACATAAAGAAGCCAGAAGTGCAGACTCAAACCTGTCCATATGCAATGTATGGACAAGCTTGAGTCTATATTGAGTCTCTGTTATAAATAATTGCATTCAATGTAAATTAAATGCAATTACTTACACAACTATGTATTTATTTAAATAATTGTGTAACTCGATGCAACTGACTGTGTAATGAATTATGCAATGTTCCACCCCTCCTTACTTTGCTCGATTTCTGGTCCACGTTGAAGCAGGCGAGGTTGGAGTCTGTCACCTCTCGACCGGTTTTATTGATGATGTAATGGGCCAGTTTGGTGGCCAGGTGTGATTTTCCTGTGCCACTGGGTCCAGAGAGAATGATCCTGCGGTGCTCCATCAGCAGGTTTAGGTAGCGCTGCATTATCGGCTTTGGTATCAGAGTGTCGAACACCAGATCATCTATACTGCTCTCCCGTACACCTGCACACAGAGAGGGAGGGCTCATTCACCTTTTATTGATCTATTTATTAGCAGCCACTCCCACAACACATTTAATTTAAAATATGAAAAGCTGTGCAATTAAATTTACCTTTAAATGCACTAAAATGAAGGGTAACACTTTCTTATACAGCTGTTGTTTTAGTATTAACCAGGTAACTGTGAGACACTGCTGTGTCTGATCCACTCATACCAGCGCAACACACACTAACACGTTAACACCACCATGTCAGTGTCACTGGAGAATGATCCACCACCCAAATAATACTTGCTCTGTGGTGGTCCTACGGGGCGTCCTGACCATTGAAGAACAGGGTAAAAGGGGGCTAACAAAGTATCAGAGAAACAGATGGACTACAGTCTGTAACTGTAGAACTACAAAGTGCACCTATATAGTAAGTGGAGCTGATAAAATGGACAATGAGTGTAGAAGTGTACTTAATAAAGTGGCCGGTCGGTGTGTATCTGATATGGTATATATAGGTTTGCACAAATTGTCATGATTTGTGAGGCACACTCACAAAGAACACACACACTTCACGTTTTTTTTTTCCTATAATTCATTCCCTAAACTGCCACGCTTAAAAGTAGAATATTGTCAAGCTAAACTCAGTAGGAATGGGAATTCAAGAGTAACTAAGGTTGAAATAGTTTAATAAAACAATCTTGTACTTTCAATAAAGACATAACACAAGTTATCAGCTGACACATTAAGACCCCATAGACAAATAACAGGTAATTAATTCTGTAATTATTTTTAACATTAATTAACAGGGACATTAATTAACATCACTGTAAATTGATTTCGGCGTTTTAGGCGTTTCTGAGAATAGGAACACTTTCACATTAAGATTATTGGGTATTGTATACTGCTCTGTACTTACCGTGCTGTGAAAAAGTATTTGCCCCTTCGCATTTTCTTTTATTTTTGCATATTTGTCACATTTTAATGCTTCAGATAATCAAACTACCTTTAATATTAGACATTAGAAAAGATAACCCAAGTAAACACAAAACATTGTTTTTAAACGATGATTCATTTATTGAAAGAAAAATGCTGTTCAGCCCTACCTGGCGCTGTGTGAAAAAGTAATTGCCCCCTTAGCTACTAAATCAAACAGTAAACCAAATTCAATTGACAACAGTGTTCAATTTCACTAGCCACACCCAAACATGATTACTGCCAGACCTGTTGAATCTAAACATCACTTAAATAGAAGTTGTCTGGCAATGTGAAGCAGACTAGAAGGACTTGAATGTCCGCCCATCAGTTCCTGACCTAAAGCTCAAGCGCAGTTGGATTATGCAGGAGGACAAAGATCCAAAGCACACAAGCAAGTCCACATCTGAATGGCTCAGAAGAAATAAAATGAAGGTTTTGGAGTGGCCGAGTAAAAGTCTTGACTTGAATTCCATTGAGATGCTGTGGGAGGACCTTATATGGGAATTCATGCTCGAAATCCCTCCAATGTAGCTGAATTCTCCAATATCAGAAAATCCTCCACAGTGATGTAAAGGATTCATCACAAGTTATTGCAAATGTTTGATTGCAGGTATTACTGCCAAGGGTGGCACAACCAGTTACTAGGTTTAGGGGGGCAATTACTTTTTCACACAGGTGATGCAGGTTTTGAATACATTTTTATCTTCAATTAAAGAAAATTATCATTTAAAAGCTGCATTTTGTGTTTGCTTTGGTTGTCTTTAACTTATATTAAAATTAGTCGGGTGATCTGAAACGTTTAAATGTCACAAATAAGCAAAAATAGAAGAAATTGGGTGGGGGCAAATACTTTTCCACAGCACAGCTATACTCTATATAGCTATATATATGTTGCAAAATATGTTGCCATGTATGTTGCAAAAAAAATAAAATAAAAAAAAAAACTGTGGCTGGCCTAATGGCATGTTGCTTTTATTTAGCAGTGTGGTCTACTACAGCTAACTAGGCTATAGTTAGTGTTTTCTAGCTAATGCTAAAGCTTCACTCTCAAGGCTCTAAAGGACACCATATGGAAAAGAGACTTGTTAACTTCCAAATAGTTCCAAATCAGTTTTGTGTTTAAAATATAAACTAGCTAATAAAAAAATAAATAAACTTTTTTTTTTTTTATCAGATTGCAGGGGCTTGATGAGCAGATGTTGCAGACACTAAAATGCATGCATGTACTTTTGGACAACTGTTTATACTTTTTATAAGTTACACACTGGAGAATGTCTGACCTTTCAGTGTAACGCTGATGATGTTGTTGTCTCCCACCAGATATCCACAAGGCAGCAGTTCAGGCACCTCAGAGACATGAGAGCGGATAACATCCCCCATCTTGTAGCTCACTATGCTGTCTGAATTCAGGCCCAGACTCGTCAATGGGTCCACACGAAACACATACTCCTGAAACACACGGAAAACACAGAAACACAGTTCAGTCTGGACGGAAACTGGGCAATGACTGGACAGTGACATAACTAGAATGGTTTAAGCTCTTTATTAAGTACATTGTATATAAGTGTTTAATTACTGATCATGTATTATAGAACACATGCAAAACACAATCAGAGTTCAGTCTATAAGTAACTGGACAGTGACATAACTAGAATTTTTTAAGCTTTTTATTAAGTATGTTCTACTTTAATTACTGAACAAGTATTGTGTACTGCGCTCTTACGTAGTATAAATACTAATTACTGGGTATTAGTTACTAAGTATTATATGCTGTGCTCTTATGTAGTTTAAATATCAATTGCTGATTATATGAGCTGCACCGTAATGTAGTATAAACATTAATTTCTGTAATAATAAGTATTATGTACTGCACTCTTATTTATAAATACTAATTTCTGAGTAAGTATTGTGTTGTAGTATAAATACTAATACTAATAAATCTAACTACCATCTACTAACTACTAATTGACTACCATCTTCTTATGTTGTAAAAATACTGTACTAAGTACAGAGTAAGTACTAATTACTGATGAACATTAGTACTACACCCTCATCAGTACGTATTGCACAAGTACTAAGTATTGTGTTGTAATAAGTACTGAGTATTGAGTACTAACCTTAAACAGCCGTCTTATTACACCATCCAACACGTCCCACTTGGTTTTCCCGCTGACGCCGATGGAGCCAATCAGATACTCCTGACTCTGCACAGCCTGTAGATTTCACAAATATATCACTTATATTATTATTAAGTACAGTTAATATTAGTTGTACACACTTGTATGTAAGGAATGTACCATTTACAAGTATAGTCTGATTACATATGCATTGCATTGTAAATGTTATGTGCCTGATTATCTTATTTTAATTAGACGGCACTAAGGCAAATCCCGACTTGTCTGACTCATGTCATTAAATATTACAGTCAACATGTTCCCGCTGACCTTGGTCCTGTTGGAGCCCCCAGAGATGTTGATGACTATCCGCACACTCCGGCCCTCCTTCCGCAGATTGCCTTCGTAGCTGTCATCCAGAAGCAGATCTGTGTACAACACGACAGGTTTACAGAACACCAGCGATAGTTTGGTGACAAATCAAATTTATACATTTTGCCCCTTTGGTGTGATGAAAATAGTGCAAATCTTGCATAAACTTGGTTTGTAATCCTGCCTAATAGATGAAACAGATATAAAGGAGTATTATATGATCACTGATTTTTTGACCTAAATGCAGAATAACCATGAACAGGAACAGCAGCAGTACTGTGACTTAAATAGCATCAGTTGGTTTATTGTGCCCCATTCTTGTAAAGCTTAAGGGCAGCAAGACACTGCTGCCCGATGATTGCCACAATTTCAGTAATAAGTAATATATATGCAGCCCCTGTACTAGATGTTGACTGGGTACTAGGTTCTTAAGTGGTACCTGTACTAAGAATTTAATTAGCAGTAAGTCGTTTCTGTGCTGATGTTGCTTCCAGAAGCAGTTTGGAACGCTGTAGTGAGTGATGCAATTGAGGACAGGTGATTTTTACGTACTACACGCTTCAGCACTTGGCAGATCCACTCTGTGAGTTTGTGTGGTCTACTGCTTTGTGGACGATCTGTTGTTGGTCCTAGATGCTTTCTTTTCACAATAATAGCACTTAGAGTTGACTAGGGCAGATCTAACGAGGTAGAAATTTCACAGACTTGTGGCAAGGGTGGATTCCTATGGCAACTCAGTAATTAGGAGGGGTGTCCACATACTTCTGGTGTATATAAGTACTAATACTATTTAAGTACTCAGTATTTAATACTGCATACCAATTGTAACATAGTACACTGAGTAAGTACTAAATACTGAGTTTTTATGTAGTATCAGTAAAAACTGCTGAGTAACTACTAAGTATTGGGTTCTTATACAATATTAGTAATACATAATAAGTATTAAGTATTAAGCTCATGTAGTATTAGTACTAACTATTGTCAATACTAGCTACACAGCTCATATGTAGTATCAGCAAAAAACTGCTATAAAAGTATATAAAGTATTCAGTTATTATACAGTATAAATACTAAGCATTGGGCATTAAGAACAAATTATTTATGTATTATTAGTACTATTATTAGTACTAACTATTGTGAATACTAACTAATGAGCATGTATACAATATAAGTACTAAGTTAGTATGAAGTACTAAGCTATTGCATAGTATCAGTAGTAAGAAACAAGCAAGTAGTCTACTACACTGTTAGAAATAAAGGTTCTGTGCAGATACATTTATTGTTCATCAAGGTACAAACAATGCAAACATACCCTGAAATGAACAGCAGTCGTTTTAAGGTCCAACTCTGTACCATACATAAGTTTTTCCCAAGTGAAAAGTACATATTTGTACCTTTCCATAACCTAATGTTATAAAACAGAACAATAAAACAAAAAGCTTGCAGATGAGACGGAGTGTGTGAAGTCAATACAACATAGAAAATATAATTCCAATGGATTATGGTACAATTATGTTCCCTGACTAAAGGTACTAAGATGTACCCTTCAGGGTTCCACCCCAGGGACAAGAGGAGTACTGCCCCAGTGACACTTTCCTATCTTTATTTCTGAGAGTGTAGGTACTGTGTAGACTACTAGGCCTTGTGTGCGTATATGCGAGCTGATCTCCAGCAGGGCTGGAATAAGAGCTGTTAGAAGGCTGTTATTGTATGCACGCTGGTTTAACACGCTAAGCTGGAGGATGGCTGTTTTGTATTCGGCCGCTTTGCTAGCACTGAGCTCTGCGAAGGAGTGATAACAGCCTCCACTCATCCTCCTCCACTCCGTCAATCTCTCGCTCTCCTGCTCGCCCCTCCATCAATTAAGCGGCCCCCCAAAAGTCCTGAGAGAGAGCACCGCGCTCAGTACTTTTAATTAGCTGGGGCACAGACATGCCCGAGACGATTGCTGCATTCAAATTCCCTCATTTCACCATTTCACTCTCCACTGAACTCATTCTGCCCTTATTCACACACTCTCTCCCCACTGCAGCCCTTCCACACACACTCGAGTCATCCACAAAGTTGCTACAGGTCTTTTAACAAATCTACTTGTTAAAGTTAGCATATATCTGAGTTGTTCAGCATGCACTGAGTATGTAGTGAGCACTGAGGTCTTATTTAGTATCAGTAGTAGTAGCAGGGCATAAACTAATGTGGGGTAACATGTAACATGGATCTTTTATGTGATTAAACAGCAGAGGCTTTTTGCTTTTGCTCATGTTCTCATATTTCCATAGCAATGCCATCTGTGAATTTTTACAACAATTAGATATTTCTAGAAATTTAACTGGAAGTAACTAAAAGTACTCACCTACTAAAAGTAACTTTTAGTTTTTTCTTTTGATTACAGAGTAGTGTGTATAAATCACAGAATTCATACTGATATTATGTGAATCGCCTCTTGGTGCTTGTAATATAGCATCATTTTGAAGCTAATTGAAGCACATAAACACAGCTAGTCACGTTAAAGTACAGCCTCCACATGGCAGGGTTAGTTTAACACACTTATACAACTAAGCCTCCTAAATTAAACATTGAGAGTCCATAGCTCCTCAAATAAATTCACAACAGTTCTTTATTTTTTTTGTTCACAGAGCCATCAAAAAACTACTTTAGATGTCATGTAAATAAAACAGATTTTAATTATATTGTGCTGATTTTTGCTGTTCTACTTTTGTGGATGAAACTAAATTTGCCTTATTTGACACAACCTCTTCTCACTAATCATAGTTGTCTTGATGAATATGTTTTTGTATATATTTATATATGGTTTTATCTATTTAAAATCTCTCAAACATCATAGAATTGCATGAAATTATTTGTGTTTACATCAAACTTTTACAACTTAGGGTTCATTTGTAACACTGCCTCCTGCCACTGAATTAATGAATAAAAGGCAGCTAGGTATGCATGTAGGTTGCTTGTATAAAAAATAAATTTTGATGAAATATTTCTAAAATTCTTAAGCAAAAATTTTAATGCCCCACTCTCCCCTATTTTGTAGCAAATACAAATTAATACCTATGTAGTATTCATACGAGCCCTCAATCAATGCTCAGAAAGTATTGAGTGAGGGCTAAATACTGAGCTTATATGTGATACTGAGTGAATACTCACATAGTATTGGTTGACTACGAACTACTGAGCTCTCATATTACTCAGTACTAAATCTTAAGTACTAAGTACTAAAAGCTTACATAAACCCGGGTTTGATCCCAGTTGCTCATTCCAACTACTGTGCCTATGAACAAGAATTATATTTAGATTTATAATACCCTGTGCTGACCATCCAGCACTGCATTTCACCTGACATAATGGTATCGGTGATGTTGAGGTTGTTGAGCGAGAGCCCCAAAGACTGGCGTGAGGAAGAGGAAGAGGTGCTGGAGGTTTCGGACGGAGGGCGTGCTGTTTTAGCAGGTGTGGCAGCAGGGGTGGTGTTTCCACTGGACTTCAGCCGGTCATTCTCTGCCTTCAGTAACTCTATCTCATTCTGTTTACAGAGACAGAGTAACCATTAAAGTGACAGTTCACCATAGACAAAAGTGTGTCACATAGCTGAATACAGAAGCAGCAGCTATCTTGAAATTGTGATTTTTGTCTATACTACTGTCTATGTTAATTGATAACAGTGTGTCATACCATGTTAAACCACATAAGCAAATCTATATGGGATTACTTGACAACTCAAAACCATTTAAGGCAAGTGTGTGATGCAAGTGTCTGTGACCTAATGTTACTAGCCTAATTACATCATAACTTATTTCACCTCATACCATTTAGCTAGAAAGCTGCTCATAAAGAGTTAGTCAGCTGACACCAAATGTGATAAATTCACTAAATACCACTGAAATTATTTTTTTCATCAAATCAATAACAATAGAGTGCAAAATTAACTTAAGGTTGATGTTTATCTCTGCTGTTCTGCGACATTTCCTATCTGTTGTGCTCATCCATAATTTAGGCTTGCAGTTAGTATGATGCTAATTGGTGGGGTATGAACTTCTATTGCTTGTTAGCTCCACTGCAAAACTAAAGAAGCAGGCACGAAATGTCTCTAGAAAGTTAACTTCTAAGTCTCTTAAATTCTATGTATCTTATTTGGGTAAATTAAAATGTTCACACTGGTTTCATGTTGGTAGAGCTAGGCATGTCCCTATAAAGCAAGGTTTATACTAGCTGCCCTCATAAATACTATATACCTGTCTGCATGTGTGTGTGTGTTTGTGTGTTTTACCTGCATGCGGTTCATGGCCTCTCGTATCTGGTCCAGGTGGTGGGCGGAGCTTAGGGCCTCCAGTCTGATATCAGTGAGCTTCAGCTCCTTCTCCCTCAGCTCATTCTTCAACTGCAGAATGATTTCCGCCTCTGCTTCTGTACACTCACACAGTCTAAACGCAAACACACCGGACAGACACTGATTAACAACAGACTCTTATATTAAAATGCCTGGCTGGTGGGTGCAATGCACAACACAGTCCTTTAGGGTGCAAGAATTAAACTCGAAATAAACACTTTATAAACACTTACACACACAAGCACAGTCAGTGTTGGTTTAGAGGTACATGAGAAAGAAATGTGCGAAGCAGCTAAGTTGTGTTTGGGTAGTTGCTTGTGTGAATGTAAGTGTCTCTTTAAAGGACAACATAGTGTCAGTGACTCATTTGCAAAGCTTTTGTTGGGAGGACACAGCTGTAACTGGTTTTAAGATTAGAAATATGGAAGTGTTAAAGTGGCAGTAGAGTGCAGAAAAGTAAAAGAAAAATGAAATACTGATAGATTTGATATACTTGGTGTTTTAACTTCTACTTAAAGGTCGTTCTGACTGGAAATTAAATAATCAAAAGGGAGGTCTCTGATTTTTGTATAGTGCTATAGATACTGTGATATAAACCAAGTCGGATGCTACAGTTTCTAATTAGGTTGAATGAATATCTCACTCTAAATGTAGGTATTGTGATATAAACTGAGTTGTGAGCTACAGTTTCTCATTAGGTTGAATGAATATCTCACTCTAAATGTAGGTACTGTGATATAAACTGAGTTGTGAGCTACAGTTTCTCATTAGGTTGAATGAATATCTCACTCTAAAAGTAGGTATTGTGATATAAACTGAGTTGTGAGCTACAGTTTCTCATTAGGTTGAATGAATAACTCACTCTAAATGTAGGTATTGTGATATAAACTGAGTTGTGAGCTACAGTTTCTCATTAGGTTGAATGAATATCTCACTCTAAATGTAGGTATTGTGATATAAACTGAGTTGCGAGCTACAGTTTCTCATTAGGTTGAATGAATATCTCACTCTAAATGTAGGTATTGTGATGTAAACAGTGTTGTGCATTTCTCATTAGGTTGAATGGGTTTTTACCAGTGTTTTGTAGAGCTTGTCCAACCTTACAACAGTAACTATAAAAGAATACATCTGGGTGGAGCATGGATCTACAAATTAGGTGAATCTAAGAAGCTCTCAAATTCAGGCCAAGCAAAAATGCACAACACATACACAGACAAACACACACAAACCTACTCCTGATATAGCAAGGAACTTTATTTCTGCTCTCACATTGTTAACACAGTTATCAAAAATCTCCTCTTTTGAGTGCTGTTATCACACTAAATTCAGTTTAACTGAATTTAACTGAGAACTAACTAATGCACTAATGCACAAAAATGATGACCTGTGAGTGGACAAAAGAAACCACATAAGATAATCTATTTCACTTAACAACTCAAGTGTGTGTTGATTTAGGCATGCAGTTAGCACCATGCTAAATGGTGGGGTTGACGTTTCTTGTTAGCTACATTAGCCTTGTAGCTCCAGTGCTAAAACTAAAAAAGCAAACTTAAGATACCAAACATGTCTGTGCTACGTTTGGAGCAAGAAGAAAACAGGGTACATTTTATATTTCGCCAAGGCATCATTTTAAGTCTTGAGTGGAAAAGTCAAGCCGGCATGCACCACTCTTCCCTTTACCGAGATCTGTGCTTGTAGACCACATGGCCGTTTTGCCTTTTCTTTGGGGTCCAAATGGGGGAAGACTTGCTATCACACACACATTTTCTACACAAATACACACATGAATAGATTTAAGGGTTGCATAGTTAAGAAAAAAGAAAGAAGCAGCAAAAGACATAATTAAAAGAACATTGAAAGATAGAGAGAGAAGATACAAGAGAAGCTTGAAACAGTCTCACAACACAAACACAATGACATGTAGAAGTAGTTAGACATTATATAGAGAGGACTGGTGTAGTGGGTTGGCTTAATGTGTGAAGACATGGATGATGTTGAGGCTGTGCATGTGTGTGTGTTTGAGTGTGAAACCCCAGTGGCCACTTTCTGAGCTTTATGAGCTAACCATGTATGTCCACTAAATAAGTGTACAATTACAAACTGTAGCTCATCTGTTGCTGCACAATTTATCAGTCCCTCTCAACCCCAATCATCATTGGTCAGTTTCTGACCACAGGACTGCTGTTGACCAGATACTGTCTGGATGGTGGATCATGAATCAGCTCAGCAGTGACACTGATATGGTAGTGGTCATGGTAGTGTGTGTGGTGCTGGTATGAGAGTATCAGACACAGCAGTGTTTCTAGGGTTTTTTTACACACATCAGTATCACTGCTAGGTTGAGAGTGGACCACACCCAAAAATTTCCAGCCAAGAGGAGCTCTGTGGTCAGAAACTAACCATTGAGGAAGGCCTAGAGGATGACCAACACAAACAGATCTCATCAACAGATAAGCTACAGTCTCGAACTGTACATGAGTAATGTGGAGCTACAAGAGAGGAGTTTCTGATAAAGTGGCCATGGAGGGTAGGTATAAGGTAGCTGATAAACTCAGTGTTTGTGCATGTGTATTTGTGTGTGTGTGTGTGTGTGTGTATACTTACTCTGTAGTTGATGGTGAAGTGTGTAAAGTTTGTGTGCTTCCCTGTTGTATGTCGCTGTGCTGTAGTTTAGGGGATGCAGGCAGTGAGTCGGTCACTTCCTCCAGCTCATCATGGGCCGCCTGCAGCTTCGAGCTTTTCTTCTTTCCAAATGCCTGCTTAAAGGAGCTCCGCAACTAAGGAGACACAACACACACTGATTTAGTTACACACACACAGACGCACTCTTCCTCACATCTCCAACTCTAGTGCATTCTCGGGTCACTCAGAGGGGAACAGATAATCTACAACTTATTTTCATATTTATTATTATTATTATTATTATTATTATTATTATTATATTTTGTGGTTTTATGTACCAAAAACAGTCAAGAATAATTTTTACACAACCATTTTCCAATCAAAACTGAGGTAAACTGATGCAGACGAATAAGCGGGGCTAAACTGGGCTAAAAAAGCACAGTTGGCAGAGCTAAACTGCAGTAGGCTGAATAGGTGGACATAAATAAATGTGTTCATGGTTGTGACATCATAACCATGATGAATTCAAGACCGGCTGTGTTCGCTGATAAGTTCCATATTAGAGCTTTACAATCAATACATACAGAGGCATCAGATGCTATCATGCCAGAGTTTCTGCATAAACACACAGGGGGCAGTAACAGGGGCAGCATAAGGGGTCGGGGGGAATGGAGGACACCGAATGTATGGACACGCTGACCTAAGCAGGGAAAGAATCAGGAACTTAAAGATAAAACGCTTACACAAGACTCTCACTGTTATTGCTGACCACAGCATCCCCTTCTGGACCATATCTCTCTCTCTCTCTCTCTCTCTCTCTCTCTCTCTCTCTCCTCTCTCTCTCTCTCTCTCTTTCCTTTGTCCTCTTCTTTTTCTCTCTCATTTCTCCTTCTGTCTCTCTCTCAGTGCGAGTGTTTCCTGATTGTGAGTCCACAGACGCCTAAATTAAGCAGATGAATAATTAATGTGTGCATAAATAATAAAGATGTGATTTGCATTCATGAGCTTGAGTCTCATCAGCCCCAGTCTGGAGTCACCCTGAGGGAGATAAGTGGAGAAACATAATCACCCAATCCCTCTTTCCAAATCACCGCCTGTTTACCTAACCTGCTCTTCACTTAACACCAAAGCCAAGGACAAACAGCTCTTATTAAATCATAGGACAAATAATACAGAGAGCAAACTACAGCACCGCCTGGTTAGTGGACTCAACGATTTACTTGCATAATCTAAGGCTGGCTTTACATGGTGAAACTTTCCTCGAACGTTGCCTGAATCTAAATTTCAGTTGTATTTCATAGAGTCTCTGGCAACTCAACTTCTTGTTTCGTGATCACGTCAAACAATATAATTTCAACTGATTAATTTTGTAGGCTAGGTAGGCTACCTGCCTGCTCTACTTGACTGCAGCATAAAAACACAGGATCTCAGGACACATAAACCACACTGCCAATGGCACTGAATCATGATATATTTCTTCTGGATCGATACCATCAGTGGCAACAGGTAGCCCATTTAATGACAGTGATGTCTAGTAAAAGCGCCATTACAGAACGTAACTAGAACTCACATCGGCCTGAGAAGGGTGGTGAAATGGGCGCACTGATGTTCTTGGGAAGATACTTTGAGGTTAGATAAGCTGATCTCCAAGTCTTTCTGCAAAAATACTTATCTTGTGGTTTATTCACAGCCTACTCAGATATTAGCTCATTTGAAGACGCTCCTGCTGCTATTGTCAGTTAGCTAATATATCAGCTAAACATAGAATGTTATATGCATAATGTACGTAGAATAAGAATGGTATTGCCATTTATCTACTTGTATCTACACTTACTGTCCATTTAATCAGCTACACTTACCATATAGGTGGACTTTGTAGTTTTACAGACTTTAGTCCATCTGTTTTTCTGCATACTTTGTTAGCCTACTTTTACTCTGTTTTCCATTGATCAGGACCCCCACAGGACCACCACAGAGCAGGTATTGTTTGGGTAGTGGATCATTCTCAGCACTGAATTGACACTGACGTGGTGGTGGTGTGTTAGTGTGTGTTGCATTGATAAAAGTGGATCAGACACAGCGGTGCAGCTTTTAAACACCTCAGTGTCACTGCTGGACTGAGAATAGTCCACCAACCAAAAATATCCAACCAACAGTGTCCTGTGACCACTGATCAATGACTAGAGGATGATTAAGACATAATGTGCAGCAACAGACACGGACATGCCGCCACCACTGCAGTGCCACACAGTGCTGGGAATGATCCACCACCCAAACAATACCTGCTCTGTGGTGGTCCTGTGGGGGTCCAGATTATTGAAGAACAAGGTCAATGGGGGCTAACAAAGTATGCAGAGAAACAGATGGACTACAGTCTGTAACTGTGACCAGCACTTCTATGATAAATGATGCAATATATGGAGGGGGTGTCAAAAAAGCAGCGCTCAACGAGACACATCATAAGTCTTATAAAAACAAAGAAAAGTAATATTAATACTAATGCTAATGCTTTTGGCATGTATGCTAGCACTAATTTTACCCATTTTTGGTCCCTCTCAATAATAAATTAATAGTTACACTCTTGATAAATGAGTCACCACAGATATGAGAACCACATGTCCACACAAATTGTCATACAGAGGAATAGGGGGAGGATCATGGGGTATTTTGGACTTTTCTGGGACAGAAAAGGGCAAATCTGAGGGCAAACACGAGATCTGGAGGAAATCTCACTGTAAACATGCAGTCCACATATGTATGTCCTCTACTTAATCTGTACATGCAGGGCAGGTTCAGAGGGGCTTATCATATTCACCTTGTGTCCTCTGTCCTTTCCCTGGTAGGGGTAGTGACAGAGAGAGAGAGAGACAGAGAGAGAGAGAGAGAGAGAGAGGGCGCAACAGCGAGAAGGCCAAACAGCCGAAAAGCGTGTGAGATCAGAAGCTATCTGTAAAAGCAGGCTGTGCCTTCCAGTGAGAGATGCAAGATTTAGCACTGATTGAATGTGTTTCCCATAATCTTAGACATGCAGATCTAAATTCTTATGCTTAAATGTCTGGCATTTGTTTCTTAGAAAAATATAAATGTATATAAATATACATTATACAGACTTTGAATACTCCTTATTCACCCTTAAGACCACAATATTTCTGTTTTTTAATTAACAACGTTTGCTTCTGCAGTTCAAAACATATCCAGTAGGGGGTGGTGATGTATCAATTGCATATATTGGTGATACACTGGTCACACAAATGAACTGAAATCTGAACTGAATATAAAATCAATATATTAAAAACACATAAAAATCAATATATTAAATTATTGTCTTTAACTGTTAAAAAAAAAGATAATATAAAAACGAATACCAGTGTAATGAACAAATACTCCGGTATTTAAAATTTCTAAGCCGGCCCGATAAATATATAAATGTGCAGCTAATATATAATTTCTGCAGCTAGACAGTGCTCAGCATATGAGAAATCTTCAATACACATGTCTCAATGTAAATGTAATTCATTACATAAGTGGACTTAATTATGCATTTAAGTGAGTAGATTACAATAATTATGTATATAAATTTCCTTGGTGTGAGATGCAAACTGAATATGTAGCATAACAATGGTAAAAGCTTTCTTTCTGCACAATTTAATTGTTGAGTGTGCTGATGTGAAATGGTTTATGGTGCTGATAGGAACCGGGGGTTGTGAAGTCTACAGCACATAATAAAATAGATAAAGATAAAATAACTATATATTTTATTTACCATCCAAAAGCACTAGTGAACCTACATGTGTGATCTGAGTTTTTATATGTAATGCTGACTTTTGTAAAATAGTGGTTTTCTTTGGGCATTTTTCCAAACAACATCGCGCATGCACCTCTCACTATGAATTTTAAAAATACATTTTAGACGAAACCCTTCTCAAAAATTATTGTAAAACAAACTCTCAGACATCACGCAGTGTATCCATAACCATTCCGGTTAATAACTTTCTGTGAGAGAGCTTTTAGAGGCATTAAACTCTTCAGACATCTGGTTTCTATCACTTCCACTGTGAACAATTCTGACTCAGTAAGTTTCTCTATAATGGAGCATTTCACATCAAACCACTCTGAATGACTTTGTTTACATCTTAGCCATTTAACTAACCATGTAACCACTTGAATAAATTTGTGATCATGCTGAGAAGTAGAATAATAATAAAATACACTAAAAGTGACCTCTTCTGGTGTATGTGTGTGCGTGTGCATGTGTGTGTGTGATAGACTCACCCAGCTCTTCTTCTTCTTTTTCTTGTCCTCAGCATCCTTACTGCTGCCCATGCTGGAGTGACTGGCCGCACTGTTAATGCTGGACATGCTGTCAGAGGAGTGCTGCCGACGGATCCTCAGATCTAATGCACAAACACAACACATACACACGCATATGTATTCTCAAATTATTCTCATGGTCAGTGTTCTAAAAATAGAATAATGACCAGAATCCTTAGTTGTATAAAAATGAGAGCAAAGCAAGTCACAAAATATTCCATACCCTTAATAACTGTGAACACATTCAAAAGAAAAGAACTTTTATTTTGTATCTACTTCACTGAGCACAAATTCCCAAATAGCATCTAAGTGTTAAGATCCTCTTAACTGGTACAGAAAGCTCAACCATTTAAGAATCATCTTTGTGCTAAGATGCTTTTGGGAAGCCCTGTGTAGTTACTGTGTAACTATTGCTGATATAATCACTGCTTTATGCGCGACTGGATGACTGACGCAAGTTACAGAATGTAGGTCCACTGTGGATCATAATGTTTTGGCATTTGCATGTGTTTGTGGGTGGGCGTACCTCTGTGCACGTGGTCTGGTCCATTGAGAGCAACCTGAATGGCAGTTTGAGCATCAGTGTTCTGAGTTTTTAGGGATTCTATAGTCTCTCTGAGCTCCACCAACTCTGACTCCTACAACACACACATTACACACACACACACACACAACTTTAGCCTACCCTGTGCTTCCACTCACTGGCCACTTTATTAGAAACACCTACCCTGGACCTCCACTCACTGGCTACTTTATTAGAAACACCTATTCTGGACTTCCACTCACTGGCTACTTTATTAGAAACACCTACCCTGGACTTCCACTCACTGGCCACTTTATTAGAAACACCTACCCTGGACTTCCACTCACTGGCTACTTTATTAGAAACACCTACCCTGGACTTCCACTCACTGGCCACTTTATTAGAAACACCTACCCTGGACTTCCACTCACTGGCTACTTTATTAGAAACACCTATTCTGGACTTCCGCTCACTGGCCACTTTATTAGAAACACCTACCCTGGACTTCCACTCACTGGCTACTTTATTAGAAACACCTATTCTGGACTTCCACTCACTGGCTACTTTATTAGAAACACCTATTCTGGACTTCCACTCACTGGCCACTTTATTAGAAACACCTACCCTGGACTTCCACTCACTGGCTACTTTATTAGAAACACCTACCCTGGACTTCCACTCACTGGCTACTTTATTAGAAACACCTATTCTGGACTTCCACTCACTGGCCACTTTATTAGAAACACCTACCCTGGACTTCCACTCACTGGCTACTTTATTAGAAACACCTACCCTGGACTTCCACTCACTGGCTACTTTATTAGAAACATCTATTCTGGACTTCCGCTCACTGGCCACTTTATTAGAAACACCTACCCTGGACTTCCACTCACTGGCTACTTTATTAGAAACACCTATTCTGGACTTCCACTCACTGGCCACTTTATTAGAAACACCTACCCTGGACTTCCACTCACTGGCTACTTTATTAGAAACATCTATTCTGGACTTCCGCTCACTGGCCACTTTATTAGAAACACCTACCCTGGACTTCCACTCACTGGCTACTTTATTAGAAACACCTATTCTGGACTTCCACTCACTGGCCACTTTATTAGAAACACCTACCCTGGACTTCCACTCACTGGCTACTTTATTAGAAACACCTACCCTGGACTTCCACTCACTGACCACTTTATTAAAAACACCAGCTTTTGTCCTAATATCACAAAGAGTCTGAATCCCTTTTAATTAAAAGTCTGGACCTCTTTCACAAAGAAGCCCCTCTCCAGTTTCCAACTCCAGGAAGGATTAGGACCCCCCACAACTCACTAATCTTGACAACAGAGGTTTAGTGAATGAGGAAAACTTAGTATTTTGTTTTGAAACAGATTTAAACTGAAAAAACAGTGCATTGAAATAAGTATAAAAAAGCAAGGTCACCTTCTTAACTGGGAAAATCTATATATATATAGACTATAGTCAACGACAACTGTAATACAATCAAGCTAACAGTTATAATGTAATATATTCGTGTATGCGTGTGTGTGTTACCTTTTGCTCTGCTGTCATGGTTAGACTCTGTAGGCGGCAGGTCATGTTCGCCAAACTCTTCTCAAACGCTGCTACCAGATGTGCCTGTACACACACAAAAATCCATGGCAACTTCATTTTAAGCTTAAAACACAAAAAAAGACTATTTCAATGTCATTCATTTCCAGAAGCATATCATATTTTAAAGACCCACATGCAGCGTCTTAGAAACATATCTTACACTCTGATGTAACACAGAGACAAATGTAGGGCAAGGCACAGCCTAACATGGGGTTGCTGTTCTAGTTGTAGTTAAAAATCAATTTTCTAGTGTTTGACAGCATCTTTTCACTGATTCATTTTGACGCAGACATCTTTGTGTATTTCAGTTGAGAAGCTTGTTTGGTTCAAATAACACTGAATTATATCATGTTTGCATCAATCGACTTTATTAGTGACTCTTACATGAGGTAAGTTGCCAAATTGGTGTTTTATTTATATAAATATAAATATAGTGGGCTAAATAGCAAGCTCCAGTTTATCATTGTGAACCATTTCCTTCATCATCATATTGTTTTGTATACAATACAGACAAAAGTTTGGCTTTAAGGTGGCTGTTACTGTTTTCGCCATGCTATATTTTGGCATGCATGTTTGTAGATAACAGTGTTATACAGTGTCAGAAACCACATTAGCAAATCTATTTGAGATTACTTAACAACTTAACATGGTTTGAGGCAAGTGTGTGATAATTTCCATTATTTGTAACCTCGTAGCTCCAGTGTAAAGAATCTGAAGAATCAAACTTCAGGCACCAAACACATATTGGCTGATCAACTACATACTTCAACTACAAGGGGGATGGAAGGGCAGTGAAAGTTTGATTTTTTGGGCAAACTATTGCTTTAACCCCTTAAATGGCCAGGGCCAGGGCCCACTGGCAAGTTTTATTACACACTTCTATAGCCTAAGAATCTCTGCCAGTTTGCACTAAAGTCCCTGTAGTTACTGAATAATAAGTCTTAATATGTAATAAGCTTGGGATTTTAAGGGGTTAATGTAAGTAACACTAACTCCTACCTAACATACCTAATAAACGACGTAAGCAGCTGTCTTCTGGGTTATTACTGTACCATTGTGTTTTTTAATATGCTTGAGTGAGGAGAAACTCGCCTCAAAAAAAAAAAGTACACATCTGGAGCCGAAAGACTCAGAAGAAAAAAAGAAGAATTACGGTTTTAAAAAGCTTAAAGATAAAGGCATGTTTAGTTGTTTTTTTTGTAGTGTTAACATTACGCCATTTATTTTGGCTTGTAGATGGACAGCAAGAAGTAGAGGATCTGGGATCTGTCTAACGAAGCAGGTTCAACTTAGGCTTTCTGATGAAGTTTCAACTTCACAAAAACAGATGAAGTTACCTTGTTTTACAACAACGGGTAACAACTTTCTCTGTTAATCCAGGTTTAGAAACTCAGGCTATGATTATTCCATGTTTAGATACTCAGATTCTGATTAATCCAGGTTTAGATATTCAGACTGTGATGAATCCTAGAGTGCATGCACATGGAAGTGTATAATTTATGATGAACTTCCAATCATGTGAAACAATGGTAATGAATGGTAATGGTAAAAAAAACAATACTGGTGTCACTGTCTCTAGAGCTAGATCAAGCTAAGCTTAAGGTTAGCTTGATAAGCAAGAAATATTATGTCGTGCAACAGACCCATCGGATTGAGAATTCTGAGAAGGTGATCTGTGTTAACTGTAACTTACTAGTACCCGAAACAAGCCTCCGAGATATGGCAAGACATATTTTTTATATTTATATACACATATTAGCTAGTTATAAATGCATATATTACAGACAGCTTGTGGTAGTCACTGTTATTAGTTAGTACATAATTTATAGTAAATTGATTTATAGTAACAGTACATCAGATAAAAACATGGGGTGCCTCCAAAAAAACCTTCTTAAGGCCCCCAAAAGCCTTTAGAAGGCCCTGAATGTAGCACTTAAACAGTTAAAGTACAACTGTGTGCTTCATTGCTCCTATATTGCAGCTAAAGCTGCACTCCAATTCCCCCCTACACACACACATACACGCTGCCTGCTGGGAGATATCCACAGCTTTGAACTTTGGCTGCAGTTTAACTGAACACGGCCGAGTTCAAAGCAGACTGGATGTGGAGAAATGTGTGTGAATATGAACACGCTGCCTGCTGGGGCTCAGGAGGAGGAGACATAAAAATAATCAAACATTACACCTCTGATCCAAGCACAGGCCCTAAGATCAGCCCTAGTCCAGACAAAGACATACGAGCACACATACATTCAGTCATGCACTCAATTATGAACACCTGACTCTGATCCTACTGTGAGGGTTATTACTGTCATGTGCAAAAGTTTGAAAACCCCTGGACAAATGACATGCTTTGTTGCTTTTCTAAGTGGAAATAAGTGCACATCCTCCAAAGGGAAAACACTTAAATGACATTTCAGTGCACAATTTCTGTTTATTTGCTGAGTTTAACATATTGGACATAACACATCTTCAATGTGCTATAAATTTTTAATAAGCCACGTTTTATATTATATTTTTCTCCAATATATTAAATCCAGCAAATAAACAGTGAGCATTAAAATGTGCAGAAGTGTGTAGAGGACATGATAACATATTTTCTCTTAGAAAATCAGCAAAACATGTAAACTCCAAAACACTGTGTAAATATTATAAGTATTATTGATAATTATGAATGTTACTATAAGGTAATTATATGTATTTTATGCAACAATAAAGGTGTGCTAAGGTGTATAAACGTGTATTGTAAACACCAATAAAGATACCTTGACTTCAGTACAGATTCTTAAACAATGTATTTTGGGTACGTTTGTTACAAAGAAAAAAAATCCTTTGATTTTTCAAAATTACTGTAGAATTCAATGACTGGGATGTAAACAAAGTCATTCAGAGTGGTTGGATGTGAAACAGTTGATTGTAGAGAAACGCGCCAACTCTGATTTCTTTACAGTGGTGGTGATAAGACCTAGGAGGCATAATGTCTACAACAAAAATCAAGCCATTTAATTACTATCCAGAACCACCGGCGAACCTTCACATGTCTTCCGAGTTTGTAACCCTTGTGTGGTGTTCATGTTTTTATTACACAGTGGGTCTGGTGGTCTGTAATCAATACAGTCATAATTTATGTAAAAATACCAGATGTTTAAAATATCACAAGTGGCCAGTGTAGTGTTCTCCTTTCGCAGCTGTAGCCAGTCAGCAGCCTGTCCATGTTGTCCACCCTCACACACACACATATACAAGATCTACACACACAGATACAGACACATTAACAGCAGACCATGTAGGAGGAGAACAGAGTGAAGGACACAGCACCTCCACACTTTTATTCCCTGCAGGTTCACCCCAACACCACACGTGTAATATAAATGTGTAGGGGGTGAACAGAGTGAAGTCACTGAAAATGTGTTATTTTATATGTGCTTCACAGAAAATGAGCAAAGGACAAGGAATCTGGGGTTGAAATAATAATAAATCACGTCATTTTTGTCTTTTGATAAACAGTAAAAATGGATCCCACAGACCCGAACACCACACAAGCGTTAAATGTAATGTTCATAATGATAAAATAGTGATAAATCTGAAAGCTCCTACATGCATCTCTTTACCATGAATGGATTTTAAAACCAAAACCTCCTCCAAACTATCGTAAAACAATGTCTCAGGCTTCAGGCAACAAGTGTGAACTAAGTTTCTCTAAAACAGAATGTTTCATATCAAACTACTTTGACAGACTCCTTTAGAGATAGATATTTAATAAGTGCTTGTTGGCTCACGGATGTTTGGTACTAAAATTTGATACTGAACAAAGAACGTTTCAATACTCGTAATAAAATAATAATACTAGTATTTAAGTATTTCTGTATTTACCACCAAAGTATTGAATTTTGATTTTCATCCTTAATGCATCTATTTGTCTATAAATTCTGCCTTGTTTCTATGAAGACTGCAGTCAGTTTATCTGGGTAAGTTCAGGTGAGGTTTTGGGAGTATTTCCACTGACAGAATAAGAGCCACAGAGTGAATCCAGCCAAACACTGAAAGGCACCATACCACACGCTCCACTGAATCTAACACCATAAAAACAGAGCATGCGACCTGACCTGCACTGTCTGTCCATCCATCTGTCCATCCACCTGACCATCAGTGCATCTTCAGTACAAGTACAGGTTAAAGCCCAGTTAAGCTCATCCAAACCAGAGCACAGAAAAAGCCCTCTACACTTACACTACTGTTTAAAAGTTCAGAATCATTTGTCATATTAATACATGGTGTTACACACAATAACAACCTATTCAATCAATTGTAATTAATCCAAATAATTCCAAACACATTCAGTGATGTTGAGTCCGGACTGTGGGGTGGTCAGTTCATTGTTCTGAGAACACCAGTAGCTTCTTTGTTTGTCTATTTTCTTTTCTCAGTAACAGCTTCATAACAGCTACACATCCTTTCAGACCCACAGCGCTGAGTTGTTTTCTCACAGTGGAAGGATGGACAGAAACACCTGTGGATGTTTTCAGATCTGAAGAAAGAGTGAGGCTTGATTTTCTCCTCTCTCTCAAAGATGAAAACTTTATGTACTGTTTATCAGATGGTGACAGTTTTGTTTGTCTGATGGTGACAGTTTTGGTGCTCTACAAGGTCTTTAAAATCTCATTTTCTCTGTAGCATTTAATCATTTTTTTAACCCAGTTTTGGAAACTTCTGTTTTTTTCATTTATTTTCTTCTGACTTTTCCTTTATTATGCAAGCGGATTATCTTATATTTAATCTCCTCAGAAAGATCTCCTGAACTTGTGCTTAATTTTGGATTGAATTCGGAACAAAACAGATTTATATTACTGAAAAAGTTGATTTCAAACATCTACATAATAGTGTTGGTAGTGTAGTCTAAGCTTAGAAATCAGCATCTCCTTACTGACCTCACATTTAGCAAACACAACATTAACAAATATCATTAACTGTCACTGGGCATGCAGTTGTTCTGGTGTTGGCTTCTGTTAATAAAGTATATATGGATATAGTTACATAGTTATATAATGAATTGTACAATAACCATTAATCCATTTAGAAATAATAGCCCTCCTGGACTCCTGAAAGCTACTCCAGGTGCAGCTGCCTGAAGATGTATTAGGGTCCATAAATCCTGCACGTGTGGCTGGATAGCCTGATTGCTCTTCATTACAAGACCATGTGTGCTACCTGGATACTGGTTCAGTGGAGGCCAGAAGAGAGAGCCAACCAGAGAGCTCTCTCTCTCTCTCTCTCTCTCTCACTCACACACACACACACACACACCGCAAACACACCCCACACCACAACCACAAAGTTTGGCTTACTCACCAGCTACTGATCAACATCTCCAGCAGGAAGGGGTATAAGAATGAGGGAGGTAGGGACTATAGGAGGGCAAACCAGGGAAAAGTCTTCAGACTTTTAAAGCCTGTTAACGTGATGTTTCGTATGTGCTGACTAATCGAACCTGCATCTAAAAAGCTGATTACACCTTCCTTTCTGATCTGTTTTCTTTGATTTTGATCTGATCTGTGATAATGATGCAGATCCACATGTTTGTCATCCTTGCAAATGTATTAAGTGAGACCACAAGCTACAAATCAGCCAAAATCAAGAAAAGTAGGTTGAAAAGTTAGCGTTTTCTGACTATTCTGAGTCAGCATAGACTGCCACAACAGTGCATCACCCATAAAACACTGTGTTATGATATCACGTTCCCAAGCCTTATAGCTAACAATTAATGGAAGCTTATACAACACCAGTTAACATTGCAGCAATGGAGCTACTAGGCTAATGTAGCTAACAATTAAAGGAAATTTACACGGCACCAATTAGCATTGTAGCAGCGGAGCTACAACATTAATTAAGCTTAAATGAATGGAAGCTTATGCTCTACCAATTGGCATCATAGCAGCAGAGCTATGAGACTAATACAGATAACAATTAATGGAGGCTTATATTCCACCAATTAACATCGCAGTGTTTTTGTACATTTTTTTGAAGATAAAAGTATATCAATCTAAACATTTCTTGGCTGATTGACTGCATTTGGGATAAACTGTGTAAACCAAGTGATCAAACTGAATTGTGGTCTTCTTTGGGAATAACTGATCTAAATGATTAGAAGTGGGATTTGAGGGAAAGATATCACTGTCTAAGCTTGACCTGAAACCTGTTTTGTAGCCAGATCCAGGCTACTGACATGCTGCTCATGCGGAGAAGCAGGAGTGCCTCGTGTGCTCTGATATCTATTCTGGAAAAGTTTGGCTTTAAAGCAGCTCACACTCTTCCCCCTGGCACTCTGAGATCATACAGACAGCCAGCGTCTCTCGCTCCATCACAATCCTCACTCAGCTGTCAGCTAGACACTCGGCCTTCATCACCCCCGCCCTCATCATCTCCCCAGAGACAGCACAGATACGAGCCCTGTCCAGCCCAGCCTTCATCTTCTGCTCTATCTCTCTCTGGTTGTGTAGTACAGAGCTGAGTGTGATACATTGCCTCAGCACAAAAATGCATTTTGATACACAATGTAATATTTTATATTTTGATACAATGTACAAAATCAAAATTATTAAAAAACCACATACTTTGTTTCATACAGTGTATCAATTTCAACAATGCATCAAAAAAACTACATATCTGTAATTGAAGTATTACAGTTATGGATGTGTAGCAAATACTTTTACACATTTATTCATCACTTTTTATGATGGTCATCATAAATACACCAAGAGGCGGTTCAAATTTGCTGTAATGTTATGTTATGTTGCCTAGATAGCAGTGATGATATGGAAGTGAATTCTGGATGTAAATCTTTTAAAATCTTTGTTTAGTGATGTGTTACCTGGTATGGCATGATGTTTTTAGCCTAATATCACTCATCAATCCACTGTTGAGTAATTGCCATTTTCTCCTGGTTTTGTGATAAAATGCTTTGTTTAAAACAACGAAAAACTCTGACTCTGAAAATGGTCACGAATCCACAAAGAATGTTCTAGAATTACTGGCGAGGTCTAAGGTGTTACCAAAAGAAGCTTCAGAATACTAAACAATAGAACAAAAACAGATACTCTACTATTCAAATTATTCAGGCCTGACTGAGGTGAAATACATTAAATGTTAATCTTACAGCCACTTTCTCTAACCAAGAGCTCTGAATGTGCATGCAATTCTAAACAGCATAACAGGAGAACTGCTGAAGTAGTATAAAAGAGCAGTGCAGTTTGATGAGGGAAGGAAGTGGTCCACAAGACCAAACTGAAGCTGTTCGAGAACTGTTAGCCCAATATCTCTAATTCCTCTGGACAAAACTGCATCTGTCACTCAAAAAAGTGCGAAACAGCGATTCTAAAGACACTACGGATCTAAACCAAAGAAGAAGAGTGTTTTAATTGGACGCTCTGGCGTCAGAATCACACTCACATTGGCTGCCAGCTGGGATGTCAGGGCTGCAACCTTTTCCTGGGATGCGTCCAGCTCCCGTCGCAGCTTTCTGATTTGCTGTAAAGAGAAGAACAGTGTCTAAAGCCATTATATGACAAAGCCCTATAAACAAGACATTTTTGTTCAATTTATCAAAATAAAAATATACTGGCCCTTATTCATAAAAGTTTCAAATCAGAATGAGCACTTGCAAATTTTGCCTGTTTTGCCTGTTCGCCATTTCATCTTTGGCACATCTGTATGATGAAACTCATGTGTGTGTGTAAATTTGAGCATAATATTTCAACAACCTGACAAATGCCTGATTTCTGGTTAAATACTTAAAATTATTAAATTATTAAATTACCAATATTGTCAATATTATCAGTAGTAACAGTAAACACAGAGAATATCAATGATGATGCTAATAATTGTGCACATGGCAATCCTTAAACTATGAACAGTGGATTATGTGACTATATGTTCTATTTAAAGACTTCTGCTTTATACTACTGACACAGTAAAGAATTACTATCCAAACTAACAAACGAAACAGAGCTTACCTTGTGCAGTAGCCATCCAATATACTACAATGACAGCTAAACCAGACACTGTTTTAGGAAAATAATCCCACTACACATCACATTACTTTATCATCTTAAATAAA